ATGGACCTCTCTTGAAAATGCACCAAGTAGTGATCCAAAGAAAACCTGAAATCATTAACACTCAATTATATAAATTAGAAAATGCTTTGAACTACATCGTTTAAAGTATAAGGACCAGCGTTATACCTGCAGTCCCAGTGTGGTTCTTAGACACTTTATCTAAGGAAGTGCAGAGGAATATGGAGTTCAAAGAAAGTTTATTCTTTGGAGAAACATGGACTGTGATGTTCTCTTGTTTAAAAACAAACAAAAATTTATGAAAAGATATGAGGTATAGCTGTAACACTAAATATTTCACCAGTAATTCTTGTAAAAAGAATACTGCTGCTAAATCATATTAAGATGCTAAGAAGTTTCATCCTAATGATACAGTAAGAAACAATGTAAAAAGATTTTACAAAAGAATAACATTTTTGTAATCTGTTTGAAGCATTTAAAAAGTCTGCCACTAGCAGCACTAGTGAAATTTTGACTTGAGAACATTAACAAAATGAATAGACATGTACATGTTTTGTCATGCTATTCATGCATCTGAGACCCATGTAATGCTTCCTCTTCTTTTCTAAATAGCTCTTCCAAAGTACTTTAATAAAAGCAGTTTGTTAAATGTTTAGGGGGGAAATGGTAGGACTGAATTTTTAAATATAGTTGTGTTCAAGGTCAAGTGTTTAGTTAGAATTTCTACTTACCTTTTTGTCAAAAGTGTGCTCCAACTACTTCAAAGTTTAAAAAAATTGAATCATTAGTCTGCTTTGTGCATAAATGTTTGTCTCCTTTTTGCAGAATTCAAATTTCGGCCCTCCAGCATTTTCTCATGTGATTTAGGTTTTTTTGCTGAACATGGAATCACACTGAGAGGGATTGAACAGAGGAGAGTTTCAGGTGTAAATTATAAAATCAACGTTGTCATTGGGATTTATCACTGAACAGTATAGAGACCCTACCTTTGATTTAGACTGTGGAAGTTACCTGAGCGCAACAGAAGTAAAGCCACACAAACACAGGCATGCTTAGAATTGCCCTTCAAAGGCTACAGATCTTCTCAGTTTTTTTAGTACAGTGAGCTAGTAGCAGGGGTGAATGCTTCCATAATCTCTTACCCTCTGATTTAGTATGAGACTTGTACTCCAGGTTGTTTGTTTGCTAATCTTGCTAGTTGTAGGTTTTAACCTCTTTCTGCTTTTCTCCAACCAGCATAGCCAGTCTGCTGCCTTAAGCCACTAACTGTATTTGTCCTCTTTTCTGTAATTTTTTTTCTGCTTGCCACCAGTTCTTCACTTTTTTTAATTGATGTTAACACCAATAAGTAACTAAGAATTACACCCTCTATTCTAAACTTAAAAGCATACAGACACACGGAAAAGAGAAATTAAACATGCAGTCTGTGTAACAAATGAGCTGTGTGAATCTATTAAATAAAATATGGAAAGATAGGAGTGGTTATTTAATTTATTTTTGCTGACTCTTAATATATTGTTACCATCTCCAGCCTCCTCATGGAGTTCTCCTTTGTATAAGCTGCCTTTCATAGACCAGTATGCCCCATCTTATTAATAAACAGAATAAACTAGAAATATGAAAAAGTGTGGCTATTTCTGTGACAGAAAAAAAAGAAAAAAATCTAGTTGAACTACATTGTTAGTAAAAATGGTCATCTTAATAAATCAGTGAGTATACTGTAGGTCTGAGCGTAAAATATTTGAAAAAATTTCTGTAAGTATATAAAAGTGGTAAAGGAACACGTCCCCATTTAGCATAGCGGAGAAGATTCTGTGTTTTAAGAGAAGCTTAATCTGGAAACAGCATGTACCCTGAAGATGTTGTATTGCTATACAGGAGGTCATCTTACAGGAACACAGAAATGGTGAAAGTGCAACTTTGCCTCTGCATTGCTTCAAGGTCAGTTAACGGAGAGAGAATACCCAGCTGCATAGTCATTCTCAAATTGTACAAAAAATTCAGTTGAGAGTTGTAACTGTAAAAGGGAAATGTAATTAATGCTAATAAAAAAATCAAGTATTTGTGAAATATTAGGCTGAAATATACACAAAACCATTCATAATTCAGGAAATAGGGATATAGAAATAGAGAAATTGTGTTTTCAGGAAGCATTCTTTTGGATGTCTGTAAAAAGCAGGACTTGGCAACTCTATGTATAGATACAAGAAAAATTCCTTGGCTAATGAGGATACACTGAACTTAAGGTATCAATAAAAATAAATATATTTTAACCTAATAGCTGTGAAGGTAACTTGTGTGTCTGTAACTTTCTGTTGCTGGATCCTTTTTGGCAGCAATTCTTATGTCCTGTGTGTTTTCATGTATCCACCTGAGGTATGCTCAGTGGTACAACGCAAGTTGCCCGTCAGTTCTTTGCTATTACACAACCCACATGTCAACAATCTTGAAATGGAAAGATATTAAATTGTAGAGCATGTATAAATAATACCCCTTGAAGAGCAATAGGTTGCTAAGTGTTTGTGAATGAATGAAATACAACCGTAAACAGGTAGATTTGTATTTTGAGACAGAAGGGCGAACTATCTTAAAACCCAAATGCTGATTTGGCCTGCAGCAAGAACCATTCAGCAGCATGTTAGTGTCTGGTAAGATTTGGAGAGAAAAGGAGTCCTGCTACTCCCACTTTGATCCTATTCCTTAAGCGATATTCTGCTTTTGCTCCTACTATAAAATGTCAGAGAAAATCCAGCTAGTATTCCTAATAGTTCTACTGGACTGCCCCAAATCTGCAGTGCAGAAGGCAGGGAATTCTCTTGTGGTTGGGCTCTGCAATGCTTCGGGTGTTTTGTCTGAAGGATCTGTAAATGCAGCCTTTTGCAGCGCCGCAGAAAGTTGTTGCTGTCACAAAAGCACTTTGATGAATGGGAGGGACCTTAAAAACTTACATTGCCTGTCTTAGTTGTCCAGGCTGCAGTGGTTGCAGTCACATAGAACTAGCTTAGGTCCATCTAAACTAATGGCTTAAATGGTGTTAGCCAAGCCTCTGCAATGAATGCAAGCCATCAAACTATTGATCAAGTTCTAAGGTAAATTTTGCAAGTTGTGTTGAAATGAGAACTGACACCCTATGCAAGTATGGTGCTACCTGACATAACTGATACTTTAGTAATCCCAGGCAATTCTAAAATTTTAGTCCTCTTCAATGTCTAATAATCTCTGATTTACCAAATGGTGATGCTAGTGAACTTCAAATAGAAATTGTTTATACTGCCTTTAATTGATGTTTTTGTTGCCTTTACCTTCTTTTATGAGAAGGGCTAAATACCATCAGTGTTTTTTCTGCATGTATCGTTCACTACTTTATCTACTTCTGTTATGTTCACTAAATTCACCTCCTCTCCAAACAAAATAATGTTAATCTTTTAAATCTCTCCTTGCATGGATGACTGTCTCTGTTTTTAATCTGTTTGACGTTCTCTGGTGCTTTTCGGTTTCTGAGATATCTTTTTTCAGATGGATGCTGTTAGTGAGCACATCATTTCTAGAGAGGTCATGCCATACGTTTATGTAATGGTACAATATTTTAAATCTGCATTAAAAAGAGATGGTTGTGAACATCTATCTTTGGTTTACTCTGTCCCTTAAACTGACTATAATAATTGGTAGGTCTTTTTTAGGCAGTAGTTTCAGTCAGTTTAAATCTCACCGGTGAGTAGTAAAAATCTTTGTTTAGAGCGTCTGTTCATGTCTTCTGGTGGTTGCTCTGACTTCTGTCTGGGAATTGGAGACCCTTTTGGAGCCATTCCCTCCAAGGTGATGTGTGTAGCTTGTGCCGCTTCTTGAGGCGGTGGCCTTCTTCAGGTCTTTCACAGTGCCTTTGAAAGCTGTTCTTACTTGAGTTATTTAGCTAGACACTGATCTTGCCTTTTTTTCCTCCCCTCTTTCCATATCTTCCCCAAGTTTGTCCTTCTCTTGTTATTTAGGGTATATAATTTTTTGCATGGGTTCTCATAATGGAGAAACCTTAAACCGCCTTTTTTTGGGTAGCAGGGTCTCTACTGATACACTTCAGTGAGACCACATTGGTAAAAAACCTCGTTTTTTGTGGATTCCCAAAGATAAAGGACAGCGGTTGCTTGATGAGGTGCTTTAGGACAACTTACATATCTCTCTTAAAGTCTGGGATGCTCTCTGCCTGCAGTTTCTGCATCTACAATACCTTCTTTTCCAAAGCTCTGCCACATATTCCATTCTCTTAGGAGACAAAAGAAGACATTTAGTTTCCACTTCTTTGTAAGCTGTACAAAGACTTTTTTGGCTGTTCCAGGTCATCAGTCAGTCTCCAGACATTGAAATGACTCCTTGAGAACTATGAAAAAGAAGTAGCTGAATGTATACTATTACTTAACTAGAAAGGTGCTTTCCAGTCAATATAACATTAGAATAGGTAGAGGATAGACTGGTAAATAGATTGGCACATGGGTTTAAGATACAAAACAGTGTGGGGAAACAGTGCTCTACAAGTACTGCAAAGTTTATACATCACGGATGTGACCAAACATTAGAAGAAATAATGCATAAAACGTGAAGAGACTGATGTTTCAAACTGGAGCGCAAGTTATGCAGTATACTAGAGACCTGCATAGTGTGGATGTAGGTTTTTAAAAAGTACCACCTTGTTCTAAAATGATAGAACTTCAGTCCCTCATAGATAAGTTTTCAGTTTTAGATGAGTTCCAGAATTGCATGGCACCACATAGATGATATAAGTGCATTTTGCCTTTATTACTACTAAAATTGTCTTGATGTTCTTGAGTCATAGATTTTAAAAGTGTGATAGTGGTATGGAGATGTAATAAAACCAGGTAGCTTTACAAAATTCTTCTTCCAAGAAGAAGCCGTGCTTCCGGAGAAAAGGGGATAAGATGAGAAATTTAACTCTGCATAAACATAGCTATAGCTCTTTGGACACAGGAATGCAGATGTACACTGTTCATTTAAATCGATGTTAATAAATTACTTTTTTTATATAGGTGTATCTGAACCTTCTTTTATTGCTAAAAGTGAAGATCGTTTGTTTAAACATTTATTTGAAGACTATCAAAGATGGGTTCGTCCAGTGGAACGCTTGAATGACACAATAAAAATAAAGTTTGGCCTTGCAATCTCTCAACTAGTAGATGTGGTATGTATAGTAAATAAGTTTGTTTATTTTTTTACCCTAATTTTTAAATTCTGGAACATAATGTCATCTGAAATAATTGTGCATATTTTAGCTTAAACACAATAGATTAAACCTCTAAAATTATTATCAGCATAATAAAAAAATGCATGAAGAAGTGAATGCAAAGAATTTGAGAAGACAAATGGCTCTTATGTTTAGTGGCATTTTCAGGAAAAAAAAGTGAGTGAAATTCTTAAGCCTAGGGAATTGCGTTTTAATTTATTTATTCAATGCGAAAACTACATATTTTTAAACTTTATCAATCTCATTTCTGTAAAATTCAGGAACACTTGCAAATAATACTCTTTTTCCCCCCTTAAACAGCAAAAAAACCTTTAAGGTTTCAAATACGTCATTTCCATAGTAATGAAGATTATCTCTTGGCATTACCTGTGATGTAGAACAGATCAACTAGATTTTTTTTTTTCCCTCTGATACTTATTCACTTCAGAATCTTCTTTTCAAATTGAATTCACTGTTTATAGCTATAAGAGGAGTTTTTCTTCCACGTGTTGGCTGTTCCTTTATGTTTCCATAGAAAAACAGTAAGACTGCATAAGATACAATCAAATAAAAAAATGGAAGGGGAGAGACACAGAAGGGGAAAAATATCACTTTTAACAGCTAAATAATCAAAGGTCATAATTGTATGTTTAAAAAGTTCTCATATAAACATACTTATCAGTGACTGGAATGCTTTTAAAAGTGTGTTTTGTATTTTAAATTACAGACCTCTGAACTAAAGCAGCTAGTTACTATGAATGTACTGTGCAGATTTTTTTTCATAAAAGTTGCTTTATTTTTATAGGATGAGAAAAATCAATTGATGACAACAAATGTCTGGTTGAAACAGGTATGTGTAAAATATCGACGAAAAATTCTGAAGCTTCATAACTGCAAGTCAATGTTGGAAGAAACTTTTCTAATTAATTGCATGTTCAAAAATCTTAGTTGCTGCATGAATTTTTATTTTACATAGTATCTTTAAAAAATGTCCCTGGAAATTCTTTAAAGGATTAATTGTTATAAAACTCTTAAAAAACCCTAAAACAAACAAAAAAGCTAAATTTAAAAAATTTACCTAATTAAAAGAAATCTGATATGGCATTGCATGGCCATTTAATATACCAAGGTGTGTATATCCAACCATAAAGTTACTGCTTCAGTACAGAAGTTTTTGAAAAACTATATTAAGAAAAATACGGGTTTGTGTAGTCTTTTGCGTAATAGTTTTAAGATCTTTCTCTTGTGGGGTATTTGAGACTATCAGATGAACATCACTGAAGAATTTAAGTTTCAAAATTGTATAAGCTTGCTCTAAAGAGCTACTTTTTCCTCTATGGGCAGGAGAAAGCCTCAAGCTTTATAATAATCAGAGTCCAGTGCTAAACTTAATGGTCACTATTAGCTTGGGAAATGCTGCTCACAAATCATTCTTGATTTAACTTAGAAGAATGTTTGCAGACCCTGATTACACTTACTAGTTTACTAAATTATTTTTGTTTGGGCTACTTCCTTTGTTGGTTTTTTCCTGTTGTTTCCCATTCCCTTCTTCTCCAGCAAGTGTAATTTCAGGCAAAGTTTTTCTTTTCAGGAAAACGTTGAGACTACTCAGCAAGTATGAGATGGCAATATGGCGATGATAATGTTTTGTGCCCTCTTAATAATTTTTGCAGAACTTGTTGCAGTTGAACCAGTTCAAATAAAATAACTGACCTAAATATGCATTTAAAATTCTATGTGATCATGAATTCTTAGAAACTTGAATTTTTCCTCTTGAGCTTTTAGTTCAAGTATAAAATTACCAAAGTACTACTATGCTTTTAATGGTGCTATTTTTAGTGTTGCTGGTAGAAATAGGAATGACTGTCTTGTCAGAGTTGCAGCATGATTTTCTTTTTTTTGTGATGAAAATGTTTAAATTGCTTTTGATCGGCTTCCAAAGTCATTGATATTCATTCAAAACAAGCTTTTTTCAAATTTAATTGTCTGTACAGAAATACTGTCAAGTGGCTCTTACAACAGAAAACAAATATTGGATGAGGTAAATGGATGTCTGTTCAGCAAATTCACTGTTGTATGCAAATTTTAGAAGCCAGTTTGATTTTTTTTTTAATTGCCTATTTATCTATTTTCATTGTCTTGCCCTGCTTAAATCAACTTCACAATAATAACAACGATTTTTACATCTCACATATCCACAGGAATGGATAGATGTAAAATTAAGGTGGAATCCTGAAGACTATGCTGGAATAACTTCTATTCGTGTCCCATCAGATTCTATTTGGATTCCAGATATTGTGTTGTATGACAAGTAAGATTTGAATCTTTTCATATAAAATACATTTACTTTCTAACTCTACTGCTTCTAGGAGGCTCATTGGATAGATATGCATGTACATTTAGTAGAGCTAAGAATGTGTGGAAGAATTTGCCTCTGAATGCAAATGGTTTTTGTTGCCATGTTAAATGCTTAAATGTTTTACTTTGCTTCTGTATGGAATTTCTAGTCTTTTTGGAAAGTTTATTTCCACTTCTTTGTGTAAACTCTCTTTTTAATTAGAAAACAATGTCTTGCACAGTGCTGGGTACAAACTAATAGGGAGGGAAGCAACTAATTCATGCTGTTTGTAAGTCATATTCAGCATGGATTTAAAATGAAGTACACTCAACTCTAAGTTTTCTTTTTTGTTGTTGTTGTTTGGGGTTTTTCTTGAGAATTAACAGATTTCAGAAGTATTAACTTTTAAATTAACCTTTCTGCTCAACTCAGGTACATACACAATGCTTTTACATTTCCTGACTTGTTGAGTCAGGGAAAAAGGCTGTTGCAGTGATTGTAAATTCAAGTTTGGAGGTGGCACATGAGTATTATTTTACCTGTTTTGTGACTTTTTTCTTCAATAATTATGATTTGGCCAAATGGAAAAGTATTTATGCTGTATTACCAATAGAAACACCAGAGTTTGGTCATGCTGCTAAAGGTCAGGATTTTTACAGTCCTTTCATAAGTCATTGGGACCACAGAAAGTTACACAGATCTTTTAATGACTTGAAAATATTCTTCACTCTTCCAAAGCTGTTTACCTGTGTGAGATTCAGATTAAAAAAAAAAAGAGTTGACTATGAACACAATACAAAATTTTTGCTATGAAGGGAGAGAAGGGATAAACAGCTGAAATGACAATAATAAAGCATATTTTCTTATTTAAAAACACACCCCCACCCCATTGTAACTGCATGCATATATCTCTCTTCTTTCAGTGCAGATGGACGTTTTGAGGGAACGTCTACAAAAACTGTGGTAAAATATGATGGCACCATTGCTTGGACTCCACCAGCAAACTACAAAAGTTCTTGTACTATTGATGTAACCTTCTTCCCCTTTGACCTCCAAAATTGCTCTATGAAATTTGGTTCCTGGACTTACGATGGCTCACAGGTTGATATAATTCTTGAAGATTATGATGTTGACAAAAGAGACTTTTTTGATAATGGAGAATGGGAAATAGTGACTGCAACAGGGAGCAAAGGAAATAGGACTGATGGATGCTGCTGGTATCCTTTTGTTACATATTCATTTATAATTAGACGTTTACCACTTTTTTACACATTGTTTCTCATTATTCCTTGTATTGGGCTTTCGTTTCTAACTGTTCTTGTCTTCTATCTTCCTTCAAATGAAGGCGAAAAAATTTCACTTTGCACTTCAGTACTGGTATCTTTGACTGTTTTTCTTCTTGTTATTGAAGAGATTATTCCATCATCTTCTAAAGTTATCCCACTTATAGGAGAGTACTTGGTGTTTACTATGATATTTGTGACATTGTCCATTGTGATAACTGTCTTTGCTATTAATATTCACCATCGCTCTTCGTCTACACACAATGCTATGGCACCTTGGGTTCGCAAGATATTTCTTCACAAACTTCCCAAGCTGCTTTGCATGAGAAGTCATGTAGACAGATACTTTGCTCAGAAGGAGGAAACAGGAAATATGAATGGATCAGAATCATCTAGGAACACCTTGGAAGCAGCTCTAGATTCTATCCGATATATTACAAGACATGTTATGAAGGAGAATGAAGTGCGTGAGGTGGGTGTATTAGTCATATTACACTGATTTTGTAAAACTGGAAATTAGAAAACCAAGTAATGGTTTACTATGCAGTTGCATATTAAATATGTGTTATGGGATTTCCAGTTTTTATACTTCACTGGAAGCTGTGTAGTTATTTCCACTGGAAAGAAGTACAAGTTATGGTACAACACTGAGAATTCTTATAGATTTTGGCCTGTACAATACAGTCCTTGGGTTCTTTAAAGTCGTTTGCTTTCTTCTAGAAGTAAGTTCATGTTGTTAATTACACATTTTCAGAGATACTTGTCTGTTACAAGAGCATGTACGGTAACTGTTCCCTACAGTGCTGCTGGATGTTACTTTCATGATGAGAGAAGTAGGTATTTTTCATTTTAATGTTATATCTGAAGGCTATCTGAAAAATGCATTTGCCTTACATTTTCAGAATAAACACTGCTAAGCCTTATTTTGCAGCTTTCAATTCCAAATAAAAACAATTTTTAATGCCCTAACTTATATTAGTTTAAATACAAGCTATAGCCATATGTTGGACATTCTGTGCTGAGATCAAACATGGATTAGATGACTTCTTGAGTGTTCTCTTCTAGCCTTATTATTATTTGTCCCTAAGTTATATCAAAAGATGCCAAACGCTTTTTTCAGTCTGTACGTTTGCACTCTGAACTATCCTTACTGGATGTTTACACCATTCGGGTAAGAGCATTATGAATCTTTTTTTCTTTCCATGCTTTTTAAACTAGCACCATTGGTACATCAGATACTTAAATGTTACTTTGAGGCTAGTGTAGAAATATAGAAGTTTGTTGTGTGGTCTCATAATGCTGCTATCTGTTTCTGATGGCAAGACCTGAGATTCTTTCAATTTATACAGAAGTTACTGTCTTCAAAAGTTGTTGGTTGCTGAGAGCGTGTTCTCACATGCTAGCCTAGGTGTAAGCTAACTCCTCTAATGTATCTTGTCAGGACTCGGTTCTGACATTATCACAAGGGATCCAGCCTAGATTTTGAATAAACGTATCTACTGTACTGTTAAAACAGCATCTAATACCCCTGCATTGTATAAACAACACAAATAGAGTAGTTTGCTATTAAAGACATAATTTCCTGTAAATTAAGGGTCAGTTTTCTTTCTCTTACTGAACTTACTCTATTTGTCTGTGAGTGACAAGAGAGGTGATAAGTATTTTGTTTTTCAGGTGCAATGTTGTTGTGACTCTAAACGTCAGAAATTAATATACAGCTGACTGGGGATTCACTTGTTTTATTATTTGGGCTCCAGAGAATGCAAGCTTTAATTGCAGAAGTTGTTAAAACTTTTTTAAAAATTAAAAACTACACAGCTAGTGCCCTTGTAGCCTTACCTCTTAGGAAGCAGTAGGCTTGGGAAATGTGGATTGCTCCAGTTCAAATCAAAGACAATTGTTTGGCAGGGTTTTAATTTGCTTGCACAATTATATCTGCTATAGTTGCAAAACTGTGTATAGAGACGAATAATCCTATCAAAAAGGAAAATAGTCTTGAAAGTACTGTGAGTATTCTCCCTAGTGTATAATTCTGTGCAGCAGTGACTTCACAGCTTTCAGATCTTGTATGTAACACAACAGCTCCTGTCTACTGTTAATTTTTTTTAATTTTATTTTGGTTTGGGGGTGTGGGGGGGTTGTTTTGTTTTTGTGTTCTTGTTCTTTTTTGGTTTGTTTGCTTGTTTTCTTTACAACTTTGCTTCTAGCTCCTGCCCTGGAATTCCACTTTATGATGAGGCCGTGGCAGGCTAAATTCTGCAGTATGTTAGAAAATTGCATACCGATTTCATCTCTCTGTAGTTGAGGATGTTCAGTGCTTGTCAGGGTCAGTTTCTGCATTAAAATCTAGTATTGGTCTGTATAGCTTACCAGTCTTCATAGAAGGAAGTTTATTCCTGTTTTAGCTCATAGTGTAATTATAAAAAGTTATTAAAGGGGGTTACCAAATGGACCTGATCTGGAAAAAAGTGTGCTGTAAAGTGATTAAGAATTTCAGGGTTTGGTGCTGTATTTTTACCTGTTCTCGCACATATTGATCAACTCTTATGCTCTTTTTTTTTTTAGGTTGTTGAAGACTGGAAATTTATTGCTCAGGTGCTTGATCGAATGTTCTTATGGACTTTTCTTCTGGTTTCAGTAATTGGATCACTTGTGTTATTTATTCCTGTTATTCATAAATGGGCAAGTATAATAGTACCTACACATATAGGCAGTACAAATGCATAAGATATTTTTGGATCTGTCTCCTGCTAATATGGCTCTAGAAAGTTTTGCAATAGCCCTATTTCCACGCACGTTCTTTGTAGGCATGTTTCTGATAGAGTAAAAAAAAAAAAAATCCAAAACCAGAAAATTATGTTTATATTAAAGCATGGCATCCCTAGGACACATAGAAGTCAATTTGCTTATTGCCAGTCTACTAAGTTACTTCTAAATCAGGTCAGAATTAAAAGGACCTTCTCAAGCACTTGCATGCATGATATGTCAAAAAAGCATACACTGACACCTGCTGTGAAGGAGAAGGATTTAAAATTTTTTTTAATGATGATCATTGTAGTCCAATTATTAAATTACTATATAAATTGTTATATTTAGTGTTAACTATTTGCAGGTATTTACACAGTAGAGTTGCTTATTTCAATTTAGTACGTAAAGGAGAATTTTTATCAGCTCTCTTGAATGTGTTGTAAAAGTATAAAGTTTCTACAGAGTAAATTTAAAATAATAATAAAAATACCAGTTAAACTTCCCATATATTCAACATGTAAGTAAAAATAGTGATTTGGCTCTGTTTTGCCTTTATAAATTTTCAGTGGAATTTGCTGCTAAATTTCAAACCTTGTTAATTCTATCATACTAACATGAACATTTAATACAGTAAGCCTTAAAATGCCTACAGGATACATGTATTTCGATATCTCTGTATCAGCTATGGAAAGGAAGGCAAAGACAATTAAATGCGTTCCCAAGTTGCACAAGTATTTTAATGGACCGGAACATTCAGATTTCTTCATTCTTGATGAAGAGTTTGATACCGTATGTTAGCGCAAACATGTTAATAATTTCCTGCCTTTGTGTGTTTCTCAGAATTAAGTTTTTAGGCACTCCCCAAATTCCTTCTACCTGTGCTTTTCTGAAGGAAATGGGTTGAAAAATATTATGCCCTGTAACCAAATACAGATAATTAAGTTTTCACACATTTGTTAAATCGAACTTAGAAAGCTATCTTTAATAGGTTCTCTCATTTAAAGAACCATAAGTAACTCTAAGCAGCGAGGACTTACAGCTTTCTATACTTTCTTTTTTTCTGAGAGTGTTGAAAACTGACTTGCAACTTTTTAATTATTCCATTAAAATATATTCTTTAAATACTGACTTTAAATTCTTTACATTCATGCCGATGCCACCTTTCTTAAAAGCTTTATTTCTGGAAGAGACTCTAAAATAGATGGGGGGTTTCCTACACCAAAGTTTTGTCAGTGTATTCCATAATATAGTTGCATCCTGCAGGGCTAATACAGTAATGCCAAGCTAGAGCAAGTCTTGGGAAGTTTTTATCTGATTAAATTACTACATTAATAATAACATGTTTAGGTGAGAAGTTTAATGTAGATTGTGGTATCTTTGATAATGGAAGTTTTTATGGTGGTTATGAATTTGGAGAACGGATACATATTTTCCCCCTCCCCCTGTATCTCTTTTAGAATAGCACTGTTTGGCACTGTACTGATTAGAATACTGATTGCTTGTGTCGTAATTTATATATAATTGAATATTTATTTCAAATTGTTTTCACCTGTAGGACATTCTTGGTTTTGTGTAAATTTTTAAGGCTCACAGGCAGCGAAATGATGCCAGGCGAGCCTTTTTTTTTTTTTAATACCAACTTATAAATAATTCTGATTGTAAAGGAAGTCAGTCTTCCTCTTCAGTTATACAATTACATCTGGCATTGGATATCCATATTTCCTCTATTCCTGTCATAATTAATTTTAAAGGTGAATTTACAAAGATTATCTGATTTAATCCATTAATATAATAATTTTAACTTTCTCAGTATTATTAAGATTAAACAATGCATCAGTGACTTTCTCTGTGTGGAAGTTGCAGAAATACTTCAGATATCTTATTTCCTCTTCAAATGCAAAATTTCTTTTTATAGTCTTCCTTGGGTTTGAATTACTGAGGTTTACTCTTACCTGAACAGAAAGCAAAGTAAGTAAAACTATAGATTAGCTATATATATTATTTTTTTTAACTCCCCACCTCACCTCTTTCCCCTCATTAAATGATGTCTGTAGACTGTCCAATTATATCATAAGGTGACTAGCAGGATTGTGGCCAACGGAGTCCCAGTCTTTATACTAGTAACTGACAATTTTTGCAAATGCATGAATTTTTTAGTCACTTCTACAATCTGGTCGTGGTAAATACAGATAAGATAGCTGACACTAGAATCCTTGGGGTCTTCAGCTTATCAGGTGTGTCTGCAACAAAATAATTTTAATAGACTCAGAAGCGTGGACCTTTACTTACGTAACTTGTTTCTGAATGTGTTGAACTGTAGCTATTGCTACCTTACATAGGTTTTTTGTCACTCGGTCAAAATAAATGAAATAAAAAGCACAATTTTCAACAGCTTGATTCTCTTTATTTTCATAAATGTTACATCACTTGGTACACTGTATTTCCAAAAAGTTTCCAGTTTGGTACAGAGAGAACAGTTCATATTTTTACAAATTATTTTCTCATTACAGTGTTTTGTTGCATTCTTCATTCATGCTTTTAAATTATCTGCAGTTACTGATTAAAAAAAAAAGTATGCCTAAGAAGCAATTTTAGCATACTTAACAGGACTATTTTGTATCTACCTGCCTTGCCTTGTCATAAAACACTTCGCCATAGCAGGATGCTTCTGTATCCAAACTATCCTATCAAAGTATTTTGATCCTTTGCATAACCTGCAGACTGCATCTTAGTGTGTGTTTTGCTTGTATGCAGTTTTAAACATTATTAGGTTTGAATAGCTTGTTTTTTCTGACAGTCTTCTCATACATTGCAATATGGGGATGCACAGAGTTTACATTATGGCTGCTTTATTACCATAATCTATTATTTACCTATTTGTTTTCCTTTTGTAATAAACCTGGCCATGGTCCTTTCCTCCCGCTGTTGGAGTCAGTTTACACACCAGGTGGCAATGTCTGCATTCTAGCAATTTGGTATGTATGCTTCCTAAGCCATTTCGTCCTCGTGAGGGCATTCATTGAACTCAGTATGAACTTATTCCCAGAAGATCCTGTCACGCTCTGAAGAGACTCAGCACCAGACTTGTGGAAACAAATCTAGTAGCCCAAAGTATTCAACCTGTCTTGACTTTCTGAATATTCATATAATTTTCAGTCTCTTTATCAACCCCTTCTTAAACCATTCCTATAAAGTTTAATGTACTACCTACATCTCTTCCAGTTATTGCAAAAAGTAGCTGTCAAGCATAGCTCATATTACTTCGAGATTAGCTGTCATAAAGGTTCAAAACTTTTTTTTTTCACATTTTAACAAAGCCTTCTTGGTCTAGCAAAGTTGAGGCCAAGAGAGATCCTTATTCTACTACACGTAGAAGGGACGTCAGGTGCTGGGGTGGGGGTACAGAGTTGGTTGGCAAAAGTTTCCTTTGATTTCACAACATACTATTTAATATTTACATTTCATCTCCAGCCATCAAAGGTTGTAAAAACAATCCTGCTGTTCCTAGAATACATACCAGGATGAAAACCCATAGAAAAATACGATCGATTACCATGGCAACGTATTTCCAGTCATCCTGAATCTGAAAAATAAATTGAATAGCAAGTAGGCATGTTTATTAGATGAATAACTTGCAGTAGCAATTAGTACCATTTTATGTAGGAAGCACAATTTTTTTCCATATGTAGATGTCTTTGCACATCTTGCATATCTCTGTTTTCATTGACAAATGAATTAATCTTGAAGAAGCTTCATTTGAATATGCTATTTGTGGCAAAGCCAAAAGCTACTTCTTCAGATACAAAAAGCTGTTCACCAAGACACTGGACTTCACGAGATACAACTTCTTCTGTATGCCAAAAATGAAAGTGAAAAGCTTTACATTCTTAGGTGATCAGGTTTTTACTGAAACAGACTGCTCCTACTGGTCTTTAGGCAGTATGTAAAAAGGCAAAGATATAATATATATATTATAATTATTTGGTATATAATTATTTGGTACCTTTCTTATGTAGTACTGAAATTTGATAGTTCTCATGCGTGGTGTAAAATTCATCTCCTTACCTTCCATGTAGAGAGGGAACCAAGTTTCCAAAAACCAGGTTTTTCTATTTATCTTTTTTTTTACAGTGGGCATTATAACAAGAGTGACACTGAAGTATTATATGTGTTATATATTAATAGTAACTACATTAGGCGATCATTTTAGTTACTCTTGAGATTACAATTTAAATTTTTACTTCATTTTCTCTTCAGGAAGGCTAACAAATTAATGATACATTTGTTGTTTTTGAAATTTTGCGCTTTTTAGCTTAGAACTTGTTTGTTAAGGCAGACTTAAAAAAACCAAAACACCCCCATATTTTCTATACCAACTAATTCTAAATAAAGTTCTGATTTCAGCGTAAATGAAATAACTTCATTCTACCTTCAAGTGCCATACTGCAGAGGATTTAAGTTCAGTGATGATTGTGGTGGTGTGGCTACTGTTCTTCGTATATTTGAGGAACATGATAAAAAGAAAAGGTTATTTTTTTTTTATTGCATCAAGATGCAGTTTTATGAAAGATGATGGTCCCTGTCTTGTAGCAGTTGTCTCATTTAGCTACAAGCACTTTACTCTGCAGCAGCTGCAGAATAAGCAACAACATCACTGTGAAGAACATTCATTCTTATGTACTTTATTATTGATGGTAAGCTGTGGGAGGGAGAATGTAACTTTCTAAAGGCCACAGGGTCAGCAAATTCCACTATTAAGATTATAACTTGGAAAATCCGCACTCTGAATCTTGTAGGACAGATACTCAAGTGTGTTTCCCTAGCAGTGGTTACCTTAATGTTCTTCACTCAGTATGTGTGTTGTCAATAAAGAGAATGTTGTGCAACAGAGCTGCTCCCCAAAATTATCTACATTCAAAATTGCATATACTTGTAATACAGCTTGGGTAATTTACTTGTATAAAATAATGGTCTGTGTT